GACTTTATATAAGCTTGTGGTCTGCTGCTTCAGAGCAAATGGAATGACAAACTGAATTCAAATGGGAAAAAATTAGAGATTTCACCTACATATCAAAGAAAACTTCCTAATGGTAACCATATGGAAGTTTGTTTTCACATTTAGGTTAAATCTCTTTTTCCATTTAAGAATGGAAGTTGGTGACTCAGGTGGCGATGGACTTTACTTAGAACCATAGAGTTGGAAGACAACCTAATGGCCACCCAGTCCAACCCCATTGTGCCATACAGGACCATAGAATCAAACGGCCAATGGACATCCAGCCTTTTCTTAAAATCCTCTAGAGAAGGAAACTCCACCACACTCCAAGGCAGCATTTTCAATTTCCAAACAGCTCATACTTTCATTGGAGAACTTTTATCAGAGGCTGAATGTGCTGTAGCCTGGCAATCATCAGATGAGCTTTCTAAATGCTCAGAGGATGAGGAAGGGGATAATAGGTTGCAACCTGTAATGTCTGAAGAGTCTGTGGAAGATAGCAGAGTCCTGGCGAGAGATGTTTTGGAATCTCCAGACCATTCCAGGCAATAGGAGAAAATAATATCAGTTCCCATGAGAACAGGCCAGAGTGGCCTATGGAGGAGAATGTGGGAGATGAAGGGTTTTACAGATCAGGTAGCCTTGAAATTATTATTTATTTACCACATTTATATCCTGCTCTTCTCACCCCAAAGGGGACTCAGGGCAAGTCACAACAAAGGGACAATTCGATGCCTTGAGTACATATAAAGTGAAAGCAACGTATACTTTAGAATCACATAATAAAAACATATCACTGAAAAAATTTACATAAAATCACTGTTGTAGTTCAGCCAGCTGATGATGAGAATGAGGGATTTGGTGCTTCTGGAAGTGTTCAGACTGATGGGATGTTGGAACAGGATGGTGATTCCCCAGTTGGAAGAATGGGGGGGGGGATTTTGAATTAGATGTTGATTCTCTTTGTGAAAATAAAACTGCTTTAGAAGCTGACAGGCAGAGAAGGGAGGAGGACCTGAACTCACCTGATGCAAAGGGGGGGGGGGGGGTTGGACAGAGCATCAAGGCTGCTCCTGCGGGGGAAGAATTCCAGGTGCAAGCGGTGCCATGGGAAATGGAAGCCTGAGAAAGAGAGCCAAAGACAAGGTCCCCAAGGCCAACAGAATGCCTCCTTAATTAGGGATAGGAAACTCTTAGGTTCAGATGAAGCAACATAGCAAATGGAGAAAGAAGTTCCTGCCTTTTTCCTGGTGACATCTAAGCTTTAAGCCAAGTTTCCTAGTCAAGTTTTGCTACCAGTCTTGGGGATTTTACCATGGACTCAAGCTCATGTTTTGTTCCTTGTTTCTTGGATTAATCAAGCTCATGTTTAATTTATCTCTGGTTTTTCGGGACTCTTTCTCTCTTTACATATTTGGGGTTTTATTTTTTTACAGTGTGTGCTTTATCAATAAACTGTTTATAACTATGCTTGCCTTCCTGGTGAGTGCTTGATCAAGGTGAACTCTAGCTGAGGTGCAACAATCACACAGTCCAAAAGCATATTCCAGGATCCATTCCAATTCTAACTTGCATTATTAATTATTGCACTGAGAGATCATTGCTGCACTGGGAAATTAGGAGGCGGAATATAAAACAAAGACAAACTTGTTTTTCTCAGAGGCTTAGAGATAAGGAGAGAAGAATCAGATGTGTGCAAAGTGATATCATGGGAGGTCGGGAGGTCTTCTAAGTGGTTTCTGGGCTCTCAGGCCTTTAGTGGGAACAATGTAAAAGGGGGAAACAGTTCCCTGTTTTTAGTCCTAAGTTCTTGGTTCCTGTATTTCAATATTCTTGGTTTGATTCCTGTTTATGACTTCATGTTCTTGGAGGTTTTGCCTTTCTTATATTCCTGTTTCCATTTTTATGGATATAACTTTTGAACAATATCCTGCTTGAGGATTCTTTTGCTTTGTATTAACTCAAAGGCTCTGTGGCTTGCTTTTTGATGCCTTGGTTCAAAAACTGATGAACTCTTGATCTCATTGGGATTACTTTTTGTACTTTTGCTGCTTCTTATTTGACTTGCCTTTTTCCTTTTATACTTATTCATTAATAAACTTTTATTTATTGGGTTATCTGAACATTGTGTAGTATTGGGTGAAAAGGTGTTCTAGGGCTACAGTGCAATAGTGTAACACTTTCTGCGGAGCATTTTAGTTTGTTTGTATATAACCCTCATGTGAGAAAGTTGGATTAAGGTATAGACCCTATTACATTGAGGGAGGGGGGAACTGGTGGAAAATTAAGGGAATCATCTTCTTTTGTTGCCTACCATCGAGGTCCTGTGCCTTTCCATCATCTGTGATGGCAACTGTCAGTTGCCATCATAAGCTCTTTGTCCACCTTTCCCCACTTCTATTGGACTTCTCTTCATTTTTTGCTCATTGGGAGTCAGGTAGCACCCAACTGCTGAAAACACTGTCTTCCCTCCATTTCCCTATGTTGCCATAACAGAGTCCCATGGGCAACCACTGGAAATGGCTTTGCATCATGTGATGGCTTCCATGGGACAGTGTGGGATGAGGTCCTATATGGCCTTTGAGGTTCCCTCCAATTTTAGGACAATTCCACCAAATATGAGCTCAGCCATAATTTTTATATCAAATCTTTGTGCTTATGATTAGCTCTTTCAAGCTGTAGTTCCACAAGAACTCAATATGTTGATTGCTCAGGAGAAAAACACCACTGCTATTTATACTGATTTATTTTAGGAAAATTGGGTGTTCTAATTATATATAGACAAGAATAAAATTGATATCTGGATACATGGAATACATAATTGGAACACTTCTATTTTATAAAATCAACATTTACTGCTGGGAGGGTGTGCATCCATGTTTTCACAGAGTTCTTTGTAAAGCAGTTAACTTGGCCTTCAAAGAGATAGCAAAGGTGTTTCAGCCACATAAGCTGCCAGTGATCCCTAGATAATACAACCTCTTTGGAAAATCAAAGAAAATGTACAGAAAGTTAATTTCTAAAAGAAGTTAAATATGCTGGTGTAAAAAAGTAAGAATTGAGGTTGCAAGCTCCAGACACAGGAAGGTCAAAACCTAGAGGACTATAACACATTAGAAAGTTCTTCATTTGAAGCCTACTTTGTAGCCAAAGATGAAAGTTGGTTCCCTAGAGAAAATAACGCATTACTTTCATTAAAGCTTGAGAGTCAAACCTAGTCTCCTTCCCTTTCACTATTACATTTTTGGTTATGTATCCTATACTGGAGAATTGAGGAAGATTTGTGACTGCTGAATGCCTCTACAATGAAAAAGCAGCTCTCCAGCAATACAAATTACAGTTCATGTTGGAGCTAAAAGGCAACAGGTGAATACAAATAAACAGATGGGAGACACCCAAGGGAACAGTGAGATTAATTTGATAAACACTCTAATCCCAGAGTCACAACACAGAAGCTGTTTTCCTATGGACAATATTTTATGCATCAGAGCAAACATATGATCTGTAAATGGATTTGCGAATTCCATCCATTTCTTTTTGCAGACAAGCCTGCCAACTTGCACACTACCACTTGGATCTCTTTTCTATACCTAGATTTTGTTGGTTACTATGCAGTTTTTAACATACACTTGATAATCATTGGTGTGTGTCATATTCAAAATTGATTGCATTGTGTTATATTAGTTCGAGAGAACTGATAATAATATTTTCAAAGCTGCTAGTTATACATTTTTGTATAGAATAAAGAGATTGAACCAGGAGGTTAACCACTCTTGACTCTCAATAAGGATTTATTGGAGGTTGTTATATCACAGATCCTAATGTATGACTATAACATGCTCATCTAATAAAACTAGTTTCAGATTTTGAAGAAAAAGAGTTTCAGGTAAGAAACACATGCAATTAGATCTGTGAAGCACAATTTTAAATTTGATGGAAACAAAACTTTCAGGGCTCAAATGGTAAGATTTGTTCAAATAAATGTTATTTGTGACTCATTTCAATAGTAAAGTGTATTGGAATACACTTCAATTCTGTTTGAGAAAGCTATTTTTGCATCATCCTTGTGGTCTTCTTGATGATGTAATTTTTTATTCATCCAATTGTTTTAAATAGCCCATTAATGCTTTTAAACTGGGGATTTGTTAACAAAGGTGCCTCATTTCCATTCTTTATTTCTAAATTTAGTTGTATTTTATTGTTTCACATACTATTTAAATCGTATGCTTTCTGTTATGCATGGCTGCAGAAAAGCCAGCAGTGTGTAGTGGCTTGAATATTGAACTGATTCTGGAAAACTGGGTTTCAATCCCCATTCAGTCATGGAAACTCACTGGGCAGGTTAGACTACGTCAGAAAAAAAATTATTTATTTATTTCAGTTACTTCTACCCCGCCCTTCTCACCCACGAGTGGGGACTCAGGGCGGCTTACCAAAGAAGACACAATTCGATGCCTATGTCAAATATACATACATACATAAAAGCAATTAAACAGTTAACAGGTTAAAAACATCAGTACACAACACAAAGGCAATGCTGCTCTGAAAACAAAGGCAATGCTGCTCTGAACAAGTCTAGTCAAGAAAAATCCATTAATAGGTTCACCTTAAGGTCAGCATAAATCAGATATTACTTGAAAGCAAGCAAGCAACAACAACAACAACAACAACCAGAGGCAAACACAAGTCTTATATGTTTCTATCCAAATAGAAAACTCAAAGAAAAATCAGGATCAAAAAAGTAGGTCAGCTTCAAAAATATCTAGTATAAAGGTCAGCTTCTTGTGTCTCTGAAATTTCTTTGCTTCCATTTCATTCTCACACCTACTTCAACATGCAAAGTGTGCAGTTTCCATAAAACCTAAAGAACCATGAAGAATTATTTATTTATTAGCGTATAAAGAATATTTTACTCTTCCATGCATCACAAGTTTCTTTGTTGTTTGATTCCTGTATCAGTAGTACTTTGTGTTAGCACCAACCTTGCTCAAGATGGCATTCAGTCGTTCCGCTTCACAATCCACCACCACGACTCTTTCTTTCTTCTTTTCCAAATTCAGGAACAGTGTTTTGTAGTCCTTTTCTGTTGCTGTCATGATATTGACAGCTGTCACCTGCCAGTTTTTCTCTGCAGCTGTATCCAACACTTTTTGAAGAACTGACAATCCTGTGGGGAGAGATGAAGAGACCAGGGTGAAAAAAGAATAAATTAATTCCAGTATTAATTATAATGAAGGGGGGGGGGTTGGGCTGCTTTCTCATTTTTTGATAACTAATAGTAACACAGACTTTATAAATTATTTGGGCAGAACTTGGACAAATTATTTTTTTCAACTACAAATCCTAGAATTCCCCAGCAAGCATGAAGAGTGGGGAATATTAGAAACTCACCTAAAAAGTCATATTTCTTAGCTGTTGCTGGCTATTTTACTTTACACAATAAATGAAATCCTTCGTTCTCCTCTTCCCCTTCACTTTGTTCAATGAGTAGTCAGGTAAACACCCAAATCCTCCGGGGTGAATTTGGGTTCTGCTTCTCTCCACTGTTGGAATGAAGCTCCATGGAGTTTCACCAAAAGTTGCCCTACATCATGTGATGGGCTCCATGGGACTCCCGTTACAGCAGGAGAGAGAAGTGGGGGAGGGGGGAGGGAGGGAAATGCTCCTCTCACTACATCTATTGTTGTATCTTAGAATAGAGTTCTATAATAAAGTATGTTTGTTCCTTAAATCAATTCCACTTTAGCTGCAATTGCTGCATCCTTGGAATCCTGGGGTTAGTAGTTTAGTGAGGTCCCTCAAAATTCTCAACCAGGAAACTACCTTCAGTGCTTATACAAACCTCAGGTTTCCATTGGAAGAAGCCATGGCAGTTGAAATGGAATATATTGCCATAATTATTACTTGCAACTTTATCAGATGGGCTGCCGGAAATACCATACATACATCATGGCGAATCTGACAGTGCCCGGGGTGGGGTGTGGGAAACCCATCACCCTATGCCCCACATCACCTAGTTTCCTCCCTATCTCATCCTATGAGGGGAAGTGTCTGCCGCCCGTTTCCCCGATTAGTCATTCATTTATTTATTTACAGTATTTATATTTCACCCTTCTCACCCCGCAGGGGACTCAGGGTGGATTACAATACACATATACATGACAAACATTCAATGCCATTTAGACATAAAACATATATAGACAGACATAGAGGCAATTTAACATTCCAGCTTTTCCGGCTTCATGAGGGTATGTTTGGTTCTGGCCACAGGGGAGCTGCCACTTCACTGTCCACTTGTGACACCAGGACCTTTGATGGAGTATTTCCTTATTCTTATGCACACTGCTGGACAGTTTTATGGCATCATAAATTAGTTAAATTAGTCTCCCCACATAAAGCAATACCTAAATTTCCTACATGACAGATGCAACTGTCTTTCAGGCTGCATAGGTTGACAGCAAGCAAGACCTTAATGGTTGGGAGCTTTCTCTGACCTGGGCTGCCTTTGAATTCATGCCCTCTTGGTCAGTAGTGATTTAATGCAGCTGGATACTAACTAGCTTCACCACAGCCTGGTAATTGACTCCAATTGAGCATGGGACACATCCCATGTTGCCACTGCGGCAGCATGTGCCAGTTCTATAGTTTTACAATGGAGCCCCATAGGGAGTAGGTCTATGTCATGAGATGGGAGCCAGCAGGCTCCGTTGTAAAAATTATAGAGGAACCAGCACATGGCGCTGAAAAGTACTCGTACATCGTCTGATGAGGCTGATAGTCCTCCAGTTGTATCAATTTGGTAGGGACAGTCTTGATTAATTCTGTGTTTTCATACTTTTTCCATTGCTCTTAAAATGTCTCTCTCCTCTTCCTCCTCTTGCTTTGCCTCTTTGTTTTCTGGCTTACTTCATTTGCTACAAACTAAGTTTAAACTATAAAGGTAGTTTGCATTTAATTTATGGCAAGGGAGAGAGGAGAGGAGGAGATGCAAACTACCACAGTCTCTTGTACCAGGTGTGTTTTTCCTAATTCATTAGTTTTGCCATCTTGACTACACCACATGTTATTTTGGTTTTCATCTATGAAATGCTGAATGGTATTATTATTATTATTATTATTATTATTTATTATTAATTATTATTATTATTATTATTATTAGTAATTTCTATCTTGACATTTTTAAAGTTCTGGACTCAAAGCAGCTTACCACAAATTAGAAAACCCACATACTGTAGTTAAAGATTATAAAAGTTAAAACCAACATTTTAAAACCAACATTTTAAAACCTATGTATCTTTAAACATGCCCTCCCACACACAATTAGCAAGGTCAAGGACATTGTTTTGATAGGGGGGACCTTATATAAATCAAATGCTTTTCTAAACTGAAACATTTTTACTTCTCTCTTAAAAGACACTGAAAGTGCCAGTCTAAGTTATAAGGACAGGGAGTTCCAAAGCTTGGGATCAACCAAGAAACGGCCTCAAAGGCTGGCAGCATCTAGGAGATGATCAGGAGTGCTTGGTTGGTTCATTGGCCCTAGAAAAGTTACACCAGTTAGCATGCCTATCCATTTTAAACCTTTAAGAATAATTAAAATACTCTACTCCCCCTTCAGACCACGAATCACATTTTGCTACATTTTCAGCAACCCTTGCCTGTTTTAATCTATGAAGATGCCTTTTTTTCAAACAGGACATTAACTCGAAGTTGGCCAAGTTTACTTGCTCATTGATCCAGCCTTCTTATAAGCTTAAAAAAAGGCAGTGTTTGTGTATATGGAAACCTGTATTCATGCAACTAGTTTAACAACAGAAATGTGAGTTTTATGGGGGTACAAGATGATCCTAGGGGCTCATAAATAGCATGGGGCTGCATGTCAACCATGGGCCACCTTCTCCTCTATGGTTTGCAGGTAAAACACACTCATTCTACCTGCAAGTCTCAGTTTAAGAACAGCATGGCAGTAACCAATGCTTATTGAGTATGTCTATATTTTCTATGCAAGGTAGGTCATAATTATTACTCCTAAATTGAAGCTACAACGTACAGGGTTGTTTAACGCAACCTACATTCATAGCATAAATGAGCTTTGAATCCATGGCCTTAGTGGTTCCCAAGGCTCCAACCCAAATTCATCTCCATCTCGAATTCTGCCTTGTCTCTATTTTCTCACACTCACCTCGGTCAGCATCATAAATGTATGTAAATTTCTGGCACTTGTAATATTCTATAACACTGATGAGAGCATCCTGAAGCTCTGGGCGCAGCTGAAGAACAAATTGGTTAGACGTCTCGACGGGGAAGCTGGGTGTTACAAAACAGACATGGAGTGCCCCACAGAAGGATGTGAGCATGTTGACAGTTCTCCTCTCATAAAAGCCAAAGATAGCGTAGACTCCCTTGGAGAACTGTGAACAGACTGGAAGAAAAAGAAAAAGCATGTCAACAAGGCAATGGGAAAACAGTAGACATCATTCCATTTTATTCTTTTATGAGTCATTTTCCTTTATAATGTTACAAATGCAGCTATCTTTAATATCAAGGACTCTGTTAATAAGTAATCAACTGGGATGCTCCTCTGCCATCAAAAACATTGTATTTTTGAGTATGAATTTGCTGAAGGCTTTTTAATCCTTGAATTTGTTCAGCTATACAATTTTTCTCTTTCTTACACACATGTATTTTGTACAGGATAGCTTTATAGTCCCTAAGAGGATTAAAATCCAGGAGACAGCTTCTTAAATAATACTAGAAGTAAAAAGTGGCAGAATTAAATGTGTCCCAACACATTCCTCCAAGGAGAAAGGATGTCATGAGAGGTCCCAGTCAATGTCATTGTAAGACACACTTTGGGATTAAAAGATGATCCACCATATCATATCCCATTCACAAAGACAACATGATTCTGCAGTCACTGAGTATGGAGGTTCCTTTTGTATTAGCAATACATTGTACAATTGGCCCTCCATATTTGTGGGTTTAACTTTGGCTGATTTGATTTATTCACAAAATAAACTAATGTGATCTCTCTAGGAATCTTTCTAGAATTCTGGAAGAAATTGACCATAGAGGATTTGAGATTCTTAGAGAAGTATTTTCTCAGGTTAAAAAAAAAATAATTAGAAATATCCCCAACTTTGTAGAGGTCCTGATGTTTAGATATATGAAAGAAGCATTTCCTTCAATATAGGAAAGTAGTGTGAGGGTTGGTAAATGTGAATAAGCAGAAGCTTTACCACAGTATTTAAACCAAGATATATCCTGCAATACAATAAAATATCACTCAGGCTTGTGTAACAAGTAACAGTATCTTTACTTTACTTCAAATGTTCAAACAGGGTAACAATATATATATTTCAATCTCTTTAAATTCAGGCAGAGAACAGAAGAATAAAATTGTCTTTTTAAATAGTCTTGGAAATATGCCTCATGCCATAAAATGATCAATCTTCAAGATAGTTGGCAGCCAGCACTATCTCTTCACTGTCCAAAGTGAGAAAAATGGCAAATGACAGTTAGAACCGTTGGTCTCAGCAACTAGCCAGAGTCAGCAGCCAATCAGAACTCTGGCTCCTGGCATGCTCAGCCAATGAGCTGCTGACACATGCCTCTCCAGTTAACCCACCATATCATGGTGTCCTTTTTCAAATCCTCACAAGCAGTAGTTAAATCGGAAGAGGCGATATTTCCTTAATGACTTAATTACAGTATAACATTATAATGTAAGAGTAAAACAACTTTTTAATGATGAGTAGTGGAGAGGGAGCCAAAAGTGTATTGTCTTTGTCACCTACGTTGCTCGGGTCCTGGCAGATTTTGATAGAAAAAAATTCTTAAAACAAAACAAAACAAAATAGTTATGTACAGCTGACATTGCAGTACCACCAAGTCCATTATTTTTTTAACTGGGCGATTTGTTTATGTTGTAACGTGATTTGTTAGAATTTCTAAAATGTAAGGCCCTTTTTCTGATATGTAAGATTACTTAAAGATAGTAAGCTTTTAGCAATCTTCTTTCTGTTTTGTTAACTTGATTGTAGATTTGCTTTTTTTCTTTTCTGTTTTGATTAAATGAAACTCTTTATGTATATACACTATACTCTCAGTTAATCAGAACTCAGGCAACCAGAACCCTTTACAGTTTGAATGTAAAAAGCTGTTTTTAATGTATAATATACCGAAGCAGTAAAACTGGCAATGCTGTGTGAATGTCTGATCACTGTCTCCCAGATCAGTTGCTCTATTTTCAGCTCCCACAATACCTTTGGAAAACACTCATATTTGACCATGAGTGATTGCACACAATGATGATATTATGGGGTACAGTATTAGGCCTATTTTAATGTAATGATAAGCCTATATTAGGTCTATAGTAATGCTCAAGCAACCAGAAAATATATCTGGCATCTACAAATTCCAGTGGTTGCCAGTTAACTGAGAATCTATTGTATATAAAAATATTCTAGAAGGCAAACCTTGCATTTACCACTTTATATACAGAATATTGCTTTACTGCAACATTTTATATAATGAGACTTAAGACTCCGTGGATTTTGGTATCAATGGGTAGTCCTGGAACCAAACCCCAGCAGATCCCTAGGATCCACTATATACATTTTCCCATGTCATGTATATTGTATACATGTGAAAGCATCCCACCATACAAGACTTTCTAGTTCTTTTATGGAAGGAAATAGATAATGGTTTCTAACAGATTATATAACACAGTTTTTCACACTTGTGTCTCTGAACTCAGAACAAATTTCATTTCCAGTCGGACAAAGTGGTCAGTCAGGTATAGTTGGTACTAGCTCTGCATCTGAAGTTCAATATAACTAAAATCGAAGTTTTGAAATGTCAGATAACCCCAGCATTTCATTTCAATATGTCTGGTTGCTGCCATGTAGAAGATTTGTTTGCTGTCATCAGTCTCCTTAGGAAAATACTTGAATAGGACCATGGAAGTGCTTGAAGGCTAGTATTTACGCATGTCTAGGGGTAGTACCATAGTGGAGGAAAGTAGCATATTTAACACTGCAAACCTCAGGCTTATTTCCCTGTCAAACTCTTTTGACTTCATTCCTATCTACACTACATTCCAATTATTATCCATCAATTCTTAGGTGATGGCATTGAGCAACTGTACTTTTCCCCACAAGCAAGCATTTGACTTGCTCATGGGAGAATACATGAATAAATCAGCACTGAGGGTAGGATGTGAATTCTTCACTGTGAGATACTGATTTTTTTTTTAAATAACCTTGTTTAGTGGTTTAATTTTCCTTGATCTAATTCCATGTTTGCATTCAGATGAAAAGTGGGACAGATGTGACCAAGGAACCTCAGGGTATGTTTCAGATGGTGAAAGTTATTGATGAGGAAAAACAAGCTGAAATTATTTACTTTCAGTTGATCCTGTGAAGAAAGGGGGGGGGGGGAGGAGAACTACTCCCTTCCCTACCCACCTTCTGATTTAACTGAGTGTAAACTACAGCACTTTGAATTTAGTTTCCAGCAATTGAAATTGAAAAAGGGGAGAAATGGGAAAAGAAATAAAAATTGGACCTTTTAACAACAGCTATAATGAATACAGAGCATAAATATCAAATTGGGACAGTTGGGGGGTATGAGTCCCCATGTAAGCCACCCCAAGTCCCTTCAGGGAGATGGTGCAGGATACAAAAATTAAGTTGTTGTTGTTGTTGTTGTTGTTGTTGTTGTTATTAGAGCCAGCCTGTTGCATTCACAAGTAAAAAATGAGTTTGGCCATCTTCAACTCCTCCTAACACTTTGGTCATCTTTAATTTCCTACATCGTGGCAACACATAGCCTCGCTCTATTTTATTCCTTCTCCACTGAGTGTCCCCTTCTGTTTCCTCATGGGGCTAAGTGTGTGTGATGTGATTTATCTTTAAAACAAGACTTGTAGAAGGAAGTGCCTCACTTTGAAGCCCAAATGTTCCCTAGAAGCTTCCCAGAAGCATCTTAAAAGCAAAGTGTAGGCTCTCCACATAACCTACTTTAAGCAGGGATGGCGAAAGCATGACCCACAAGCCAGATAGAGTTCTTACCTGCTTTTTTTGCCGGGGGGGGGGGGGGGATATTCTTCAGGCATTTTTGACTCCAAATCCCTTTGAGAGGATGTGGGACATTTTATGCAACATTCTCTCCCCCAACTTCATTCCAACTACGAGAGTACAGGACAGTTCACTCCCCCCCCCCTTTTTTAAAGGAATAGATTAAAACCCCATGGCACCGATATTTCCTGTTGTAAAGAAAGGCCTTTTCTGCCTTTAAATGCCCTAATAGACCATAAGTCCCACATGGCAAAAATGCTTCCCATAGCCACAAAGGGCAAAAAGGATTTTATTGGGGGAATGTGGCCCTTCAGGATCTCCTTGGGGCCAATCTACTTCCATGGCTTCTAACAATCATCCTCCCTGCTTTGTGAACTGTGAAGGAGAGATGAGGATGAGGCACATGGCCTTTGGGGGAATAAGGGGTATCAATGTACCCCAAGATGATGTTCATTTTTGAATAAGGAACATTTATAGACTAATAATCTTCAAAATTCGCTTTAATTGAACTTGTTCTTGCAAACTTGCAAACATCTAGAATAGGCTGAAGCACAGCTACAAGAAAGCACAGAAATTACAGCCTTTTATCCCACTTGAAAGAAATGGGAAAAACAAGGACATGAAATGAGTGAAACAAGTAAAATTAAGCTAGAAACATGAAAATACATATTCATGACATAAGCTGCCAAAAATGTTCTGTCGTATAAACAAAGCAAATGATGTTTTAGGAAGTGATGGTTTTGGTTGTAAAGTAATGAAGAAAAAGAAAAATATACTAAACAATATTATGCTGATCTGAAGAAGATAAATAAGGACCTCATCACATTAAATGCCCTAACATGTGTGGCAGCAGGGGGATTCAGCAGGCATCGCGGCAAATTCGTGGAAGAATCCATCTCTCTGAGCCCTGCATCTCCCACAGCGCCAGCTCCCCCAACATATGATGGGAAGTGTCATTGCTTGGCTTCCCTCTTCCCCAATGCTGTCCCATTGCTGGCAATAAGAATACGGGAAGCCTCCCATGTTCTCCTTGCTCCATCTTAGGACACTTCCAGTACACCTGGGTGCAATAGCTGTACATTGCTTGATGGGATCCAGTGGGCTCCATCCCCAAACTGTACAGGTGGGCAAGGACCTGCACTGCAGAAGTTATTCTGCAAGAACCATTAGAAGTAGACAAATGTTGCCCCTCTACCAGATACTGCATATATAGTCATGGTACTATCGTAACAAAATATCAACTTAATTAAAAAGAGAAACCCAGTAAGTCAGAAGATATGCTTTGGGTACTGAAAATCAAATGTTCAATTCTTGCAATCTCCTGTTAAAAGTGTCTAGCAGC